CCAAACTATGGTTTAATTGAAATAAATGATTTGACTTTGACTTTGAATAACTTATCTATATTTTTTCGACTCCAATTTTTACTTCGATCTATGAGGTACCTACAGTGTAGAGGTACAGATTGTTGTGAAATACGTGGGTCTATCCCAATCCTATTTAACATTTAAAATAAAAAAGCAATCTATTTGTTTCGTAAGTTTTTAAACCTCTGCCCATCAAATCGAGTCTTAAATACGCTTGCTTCTTGTATCGACCATTGTTTTTGTCTCTGCATCACCCAAAGGTCTGGCTGGAGGAGAATGCCCTAGGAAATAAACCTTGTACATGAAGTCTTTTAAAATAAAAAAAAATAAAGTAAATATTAAAAAAAAAGAAAATGTGTTCGTTACGTCATGTTTTATTTGCATAACAAATCTTGATTGTTTCACAGACATCAATTTGGGTGTATGGAAAAAATACTCTGTTTTTCATAGAAATTTCACACGGATGACGTTATGGGTTGGTGGCCCGGAGGTTTAAGACGCCCACTTCTCATGCATGAGGGTGCGGGTTCGAAACCTACCAACGGCAAGTACCAATGTGACTTTTTCCGAGTTATATGTACTTTCTAAGATTATTTAGACACCACTGACAAACGGTGAAGGAAAAACATCGTGAGGAAACCTGGACTTATAATTTCTAATTATAAGTTTGAAATCACCAACCCGCATTGAGCAAGCGTGGTGATTAACGCTCTAACCTTCTCCGTGTGAGAAGAGGCTTTGCTCAGCAGCGGGCATTTATAGGATGTTGATGACGCTATGGGTAAAAACCAGTTTGTATTACAAGTTACATTATAAATACAAATGCTTTATTGCATATTTTTTATAAGTAAGTGTAATAAATGATATAGAATGATACAGAACTCATGTAATAAATAAATAATGTATTAATATATTTATTCTACAGGTATTTATGTGTGTAGTATACATATTACTTAACAATTGTATTTGAATTGTGTTCAGGCTTCGCATCAACCACTTCATTTCTCTGCACTTCCCTATAGTTAACTGGAAGAGAATGCCTTAAAGCATTAAGCCTGCCATTCACTGTTATGTTTTGTAAAGAAGAAATAAATAAAAAAATATACTCATTATCATAATAAGTTCTTGAAATGATGATGATGAAGAAATCTAAAATTGCGCTAATACGTAGTATGTGTCTGACGTATTACGTGATTTACAGCATATTTCAGGAAAACTGTATGTACAAAACATTTATAATTAGTTATAGGATGTTCTCCAGTAACCATCGTCATAAAGGATGTAATTAAATTGATAGTATAATGCACAGAACATAATATATTCTGTGCTATAATGAATGCTAGTATAGACAGATTAACCTGTATTATTTTAAACCTCGGAGCTTCAAAAAGTTGAGCATATGTAGATGACAGAGCAAATTGTTATGACAGATACTTATTATGGGTGGGAGAGTCATGCATTGGCACGAATGAGCCGGCTCGACCGGATTGATACCACGACCTCACAAAAAACCGATATGGAATAACTCTTGCGTTGTGTTTCGTCGTGTGAGTGCGGTTACCAGAGGACAAATCCTCCCTAATCTTCCCAATCCCCCACAATCCTCAAATTACCAAAAGGCTGGTAACGCACTTGTACGCAACTCTGGTGTTTTGAGTGTCTATGGGCGACATCGATTGCTTACCATCAGCTCTGCTCGTTTACCATAAAAAAACAGTACGCCAGCGAAATGTCTTGGCCTGCATTTGTATTATAACATTCATGAGAGATACTAACTAAAAAACTATGTATTTCGGCTTATTCACACACCTGTTTGATGAGGAACTCTACTAGTTTCAAGCCATTCTAAAGGCCTCTATTCATGAGCAGCATTCCACGACATACGACGCGACGATAGACGCACTGCTACAATAGCTGTGTTTACATTACGTTACTAAAAAGTAGCTTATATGTTATTCCATTTTCATTTAAACCCGTTCAGTTGTTTTTCGTGAAAGGTAACAAACATTAATTACTTACATAATTACTTTGTAATCTTCGTACACTAATTCATTTTGGTACACCCTATAACCACTCATTTTCATAACATCTAACATCATGTTCAAGTCTTATTTTATTTTTATTCTAAGTTCATGGTTTATGAACACTGAAACTATTAAAATCCTATGTAAATAAAGTAAGGATTTACCTTACGTTGTTGTAATACTTAAAGTTATTAGGAAATTTTATATTTTCCAACCTCGACTCGAAAACAAATCAGCAACGGCACAAAATATGTCATGGTTTGTATGTATATTGAAAACTTAAAAATGAACAGCCTATTCTACATTTTATAATTCACATCACCTCGCCTTTTATTCCTAAAAGTAGTAGCAGATGCACACGTAATTAATATAGCACCCACTTTTTTATAGTCACGCGTCTCATACAGTAGAAAGTCTAGGAAGCGACCCAAATCGTCCTAAGGTTTTTATATTTTTTTTATAAGTGGTGGATCGACGTTTGGCCAATATCTTGCTTAGGTACCCAAGAGAGGTACCCCGAGAAACCATATTTAAACTAACTGGATGTAACTGAAAATCAATGACACTTTATTTTTTTATTAATAAAAAATAATAAACGCTTCATTTGGAAGCTTTGAAGGCCTAGTTGACTGGAAGGAGGAAAAAAATTATATTGCTTAATACTTTTTTTAAACCAGCTTGTTAATCAGTTTTTCCAAATACGTGAAGATTTAATACTTACGCAACCTTTCCTCGTTACTTTATACAATGATTATGCTGACAATAAATTAAAAAATATGAAAGGTCGACCTGACCATCATACCATTTCTGTTAACCCTATTATTAACATAAGTAAGTATAATTATATGTCCAATTGAACCAATCAAGGTTAAAAAATGGTCAACTGATGATGACTATATATTTTCGGTTTGAGTCAAAAACTGAATCGTAACTTTTTATTATGTACTAGCTTCTGCCAGCGGCTTCGCCCGCAATCCCAGGAGGAAAATGCCAATGTATTACTTCAGACCATACTCTACCTCTGCTCCGAATTTCATTCCGGTCCCTTCAGTCGTTTTAATATGACTGAGTAACAAACATACACAAACACATTAGCTCACATATTTTCACATTTATAATATCGAGTCAAGCTAGTTTTAACCATCGGCCCTACAGTTACAGCGTAAAGTCTATGGATGAGTATTGTAAACGTAAGAGTCAACAAATATAAGCAGAAAGCTCCGAACTGCTAAGCTATCGGGAGTTACACGTGTTATTGTAAGTCAACCATAAAAGATAGACATGTGCTGTTGTGGGATATTATTTAGATAATTTTATGTAGAACATTTCCGTCATACATGATTTCTATGTAGCTTTAACTATTAAGCCTGCACACGCGACGGAAGCTTAAAAAATGGAGTAACTTCTCCCGTTTTCCCAATATTTCCCTTCACTGCTCTGCTCCTATTGATCGTAGCGTAATGAAAAGTATACTATAACCTGCCCAAGAGTATGAAGAATAATTGTGCCAAATTTCGTTAAAATCCGTCGAGTAGTTTTTGTTTCCATAACGAACATACAGACAGACAGACAGACAGACAAAAATTTTACTGATTGCATTTTTGGCATCAGTAGCGATCCCTAACCACCCCTTGATTGTTATTATTCAAATATATTTTATGTACAGAATTGACCTCTCTACAGATTTATTATAAGTATAGATTTCTTCATTAGTGGTATTCGTAATTCTTTTCTTTTAAATGGTACTGTCATTTTTTTTATTTAATATTTTCACCAAATTTGAAACCTGTGATATTTTTAGTTATTTGGCGTTGTAGATATTTCTTCTAATATATTTTCATTAGAAAACGCAAATAGTTAGTGCCTGGGATAAAGAATTTCAATTATTGTGAAAAAATGTATATAATAAAAGATTTTTCATCAATATTTATATATATATATATACTAAAATATTTTTTTCCAGAGTAAGACATTAAGCCTACCTACTCCTATAGTAGAAAAAAGACTTGTAAAATCATTAAATGCTATAAAAACAACTTCTATTCGTAATACCCAAGGTCAAACCTATTCTGGTCGAATTCTCCTAATAAAATGTAAATCTCCAAATTAGCTGCATTAGTAGTATAGATTAGGACATTATTGCAAAACGAGTTGTACAAAAATAACTTTAAAAACTAACCTGACCTGAATAACCAAAATAAGTTTACCTAAATAAACATTAAGGATGTTTATATATACCTAGATATTCTGGCGTAAGAGAGCCATGCTTCGCCACGAATGGGCCAGCTCGACCAGGATGTTCGGTGAGGCCATGTTGTCATGGCCTCTCAGAAAACTGGCGTGTCTAAACGCTTGCGTTGTGTATTGCAGGGTACCGGAGGCCCAACTTCCCCCTACGAGTTCGAGAAAGCACCTGAAACTCCTCTAAAGTTAAGAGTAACGAGTAACGAATGGAGTTTCTTGCTCGTTCTTCTCCATTCGAATCTACATTTTCGAATGAACACCTAGCTTCACCTAGCTTCACTAACGGACTGACTGACAGACTATTATTTATTTTGTATTTGTTGACGTTTCAAAAGTACCAAATTATGGTTTAACCCTTTGAGTACCGCCATTATAGACACAATTAAAGAACAATAGGTTGCGGTCACCGGTGTCCTCGCGGTGTTTATATACCTATGCTTTGACTTTGACTTTGAGTTACGAATGATCACAGGCGGCAATGGTTGTTTACCATCAGGTCACCTCCTTTCCTGCTCGTTTAAATTCCTATCCCATAAAAAATAAACTATTTTTAACACAGTCTCTTTTTTAAGGAATAAGCCAAAAAATGAGCAGGCAGACGTTTTGCAGACAGTCTGGTTTCGCAACATGGCCGCTACATCTACATGTGTATATTTACTGTAAGTATTTATCATCGGACCAGTAAGTTTCATTGTTGTGGCAAATGTTTTACAGTCCAGGTGTGTTCACTCGCAATTTTTAACAGACCGCCAAACGAAAAGGTCCTCTGTAATTGAGTTTTAATATTCGTGTCAAAGTGAAGTTTGTATTGGTAATTATTAAAATGGTTGTGTTGACTTCCAAAGAAAAATCAAATATGTCTGTCGCTGATTTTTATGCGGGAAAAAGTGTTTTTATAACTGGTGGAACGGGGTTTTTAGGGAAGGTAAGTAATATTATATTGTTTATATTTGTTTTAGAATAATAATGCAATCGTTATAATGTATTTTAAAATTAATGGTGTATTATCCATAAACAATAATCGACCGACACCACAATAGAAAATAAATTAGCTCTATAAATTAATATTTCTTCTATTTCTTTTCGTTACGTTTTCTAGAAGTGACTCTTCAAAAACACAAATAATACAACATAGCATATTTATTTATCCCCAAAGGGGTAGGCAGAGGTGCACATTACGGCACATAATGCCACTGTACAATGTAACACCCACTTTTCACTATTTATGTTATAAGTACCATGTAATAGGGGGTGAGCCTATTGCCATATACCGGGTACAATTCCAGACTCCGTGCTATTACTGAGATTTATTTAAAAATCTTTGCAATACTTTGCCCGACTCGGGAAACGAACCTAAGACCCCTTGCCCGGCAGTCGCACTTGCGACCACTAGGTCAACGTCTACGATTGCTTCAAATCTAGATTTAGATCTACTAATTACACACAGATTAATGTTTAGTATGCAAATATAAGAGACACTTAGTCAACATTTAATCAATATTGACTTGGTATTCTGGACAATAATCAGACAGTTAATGTTCACTGGTTTGAGTAGAAATTTCTGAACAAATAAAAAAAGGTCTGATTTATACAGGGTGTAATTTTGCATTACAAAATTTCACGCTGAAGGGAAAGTCCTCTTAATACTTAAGATGGAATATTTTACTCAAAGAAAACATTCCTTTATTTCTGAAAAGAAACAAAACTACTTTCAATATTTTTCAAAAAATTGCTTGCCTCACACGGTAATCGAGCCGACTAAAATCTGTCAAAGTTTGCACTATACTATATATACTATATATACTATATATATACTATACACTACACAATAAAAAGCACAGGCTTTTTATTTTTTCCCTTCAGGTGGCTTTATAAAATTCTACCCTATATAACATTTAGTTAGTTAGTATTTAGTTTACGCTATAAAACCGTTTATAAGTATAAATGGAAGGGCGAAAACTTGGATTTCCAAACGTTTTAAAGAAAGATATATAAATAAAAGAGGCCTTCACCTTCGAATAACGCGAGGGGTTCTTATTACAAGCAACGTTAACTGAGTAGGACGTATAGCAAAGGAAACCTCATTACGTAAAACCAATCTTTTTATTTTTTAATTCTTTGTAAACTAGTAAGAAATATAAGGCTTTTTTATTTTTATTTATTTATTATATAAAGAAAAATAAAGAAAAAATATTTTTTTTTCTTTAAACAAAGGTTGTTCCACACCACATTTTCTCTTATGTAGCGGGTGTGTTTACAAACATACAAGTTCACATACACATGACACACAGACCCGGAACAAAAATCTATGGATCACACGAATAGTTGTTCCGTGCGGGAATCGAACCCGCGACACGTTGCGCGGCAGCCAGTTGTCCAGCCAACGCGCCACATATTAGAACAAGTTATATTAAAGTTCGGTAGGTTTTTTGCTTAAACGAATTCCTATAGCAGTTCATCAGATCCATATTATGTTCATTCCATATTATTATGAATCCATCAGACGTAAACTCGTCTTAATGTAATAACGTACATAATAATATAGATACAATTCAAGAATCACATCCAACCACATACGCAATATTTCAGAAAATACAATCTGTATACT